AATATACCAACAATGTGAAAGGCTTGACCAAAAGCTTTGGCACTGATCCATGTACAGGAAAGAAACCCCTTCTGAAATAACAGTGGCCAAGTAAGAAGGTCACATGACGAGCATCTTGGAGCAGGCAAGCAATGCACACAAGGCAATATTACATCAAGTCCTCTTAAGAACGGTATTCAACAGCATGGTTCAGTCAGAAACTTTAAAGAACTCACAATTCACTGCAAATATTATTTTTCCCGCTTTTTTAAAAAATGCATGTTTCTTGCAAACCATTTTATTATGGATTCAGACGTTTGCAACAGTAAAAAGAAAAAGAAAACGTTGAGGAACTAGTTTGCTGCTGCCTGTCAGACACCTCGGGAAACAGAAAGCTCAGCGCTGAACACAGGGCTGAAGTTACCCTGCGGTAGCAACACTGCATATCCAGAGGGAGAAAGAGAGAGAGAGAGAGAAAGGCAGGGGATGTGCTTGAGAGCAAGAAGCAGCCTGTGGAATTCGGGGAGAAGAGGCATGAAGGAGGAAGTCACGCCCAAGAGCCTGGGTATGTTTAGGCTAGATGCCGGTCAAGATAGCAAGCATATTTTTAAAGGCTGCCATTAAGAAAAATGAGTTCATGGCTTTTCAGAGCTGCAGATGGAGTGGCTTTGAGTGGAGCGCTTTCCACTGGACACTGCTGAGCAGGATATGTATAGTTGAAACACCAGATCTTATTAGCTTCCACTTGCTGTTGAGGGCAGGCTCTGTGGCAAATCTGGGTTTGCCTGGCATCACGCATGAAGCAACCTATCTGGGTTATGTGTTACAATGCAATCCTGGAAGATGTTCACCAGGAAGCGCTTCGTGCTCCCTGAGCACTAAGCAGTTGTGATCCATTCCCAAGCCACTATGTTTTAGGATCCTGGCATGAGGGTGGTATTCTTCAGAACTGCTGCCTACTGTAAGTGTCTTTGCGCCCACAGGAGGGGCCATGATTCAACAGTGGAGCATCTGTTTGGAATGCAGAAGGTTCCAGGTTCAATCCCTGGCATCTCCTGTTAAGGATCCCGCAGTAGGCGATGCGAAAGACCTCTGCTGGAGACCCTGGAGAGCTGCTGCTTTCTGAGTAGACGATACTGACCTTGATGGACCAGGAGTCTGATTCAGTATAAGGCAGCTTCATGTCTTCATGCCAAACAAAAACGAACTGCTTCTGAACTTTTCACTGCAGTCCTAAATACTTTAATGTAATACAAACCCCATTGCTATCACTGATGTCTATTTCCATTATATCCTTTTGGATCAGGAAGCTGGTCTACATTTCTTCAAGGCAAGTGGAAATCTTATATCTCTAGATATTTAAATTTTCTATATTGGTGAACCTGAACAATTGTGTGCTTTCAAGAAAAAAGCAATGCCACTCGCAAAAGAACCCTGAATGGGACTTTTTAGCAAACAACCCAATAGAAATCGTATCCTATGCATTCCACATAAGAAGACCAATCGTATGCATGGTTACTTTGCAGGAAGTTCTTACTGTTTTCTATAGAATGGCTAGATTCAAGTCCAGTAGTACTGTAGAGACGAATGAAATTTTCAGGGTATAAGTCTTCTAGAGTCAGAGTTCCCTTCATCAGATACAAGACTACCATCTTGTATCTCATTTCATCAGATACTTGTATCTGATGAAGGGAAGGGAGTTTTGATGCTGGAAAGCTTATACCTCGAAAATCTTCTTGGTCTCTAAGATGCTACTGGTCTTGAATCTAGCTCTTCAACATGGCTACCCACTGAAACTGTATTCAGTGGGGCACGCTGCTAAAGTGTGGATTGTGAAGATGCAGCTCAGACTAATTCACAGATCAATCACACTGCGTTCGATAGAATTTTATCCCAAGCAAAAGCGGGTTGCTATATTTCTATACAGGATTGTAAGGCAATACATGGGGAAATATTTGATTTCCTTATAATAAACTAACAGGAACTTCCAGATCCCTGTTATATCTCTTCTGCATATCTTAGCGTCCATAAATTGTTAAATCGAATAGGAACCAGGTATTCTTACACCCAGACTGTCTTGAAATCGACTTACAAAGAATGTCTTCCTTAGCTAAGAATGCCCTAAACAGTCTCTTGTGTCTTTCCAGTTCACAGCTGTGATGGCTAAAGGGAGGCTGGTTGTTTAGGGTCACTTAAGGAGCAGTGCACACTTGAAAAATCCATTCTGAGCTGGGGGGGGCGGAACAAGGTGGGTCAGAGGAGTTGTCTTCGGAACACAGTTCCTTTGGGGAGGCATCAGCCCAGCAATTTGTTTAAACCAGAAACATTCCTACCTTTAAAAACAAATACCCATTCTTTACATGGATGCTGCTGTGTCACAACTTTGAGAACCTATTTTTTTGGGGGGGGGGGAGTCTTAGGTGGGATCGATCAGTGTTGCCCCCTCTGGCTGCTGCTCTGCTGTTGTGGGCACCGGGTGGTGTAGCACAGAGCTGCCAAGCCCTTAACAACATTAAAACTTGCAGGTGAGAAGCGCTGGGGAGTAGAGGGTTGACTTTATACAAGGATTGCTCAGTGAATACGAAGGACCACCTAATAATCAGAGTTGCTATGAACAAACAGACTCGGTGTACAGCATCTCTCTGTTTCTATCTGACTTTTAGATGTTTATGCCCCACTTCTTTTCTTCCCAATGGGGCACAAAGCACCCGAACAAAATCATTCGCCACTGCTCCATTTTTGTCCGCACAACGTTCCTGTGAGGTAATGTCTGTTGCCTGCAGTCTAGTTCCCTCATTACGTGGCCTGATGGCTGCACTGATGTTTGCTGGATGAACCAAGTAAAGAGCTTCTGTCTCTGAACACAAATGTCATGGGGTATCTCCAGCCACGTGGTGAATGTACACCCCCCTCCTTCACGCTTTACATAGTCAAACACCAGAGTCCCCTGGGGTTGCTGTGAAAAGCACGATTCAGCTGTGACTTATTTCACACACATAGGAATGGCCCGTTCCCAGTCCCTCCTGGTATGCACCAAGACAGCTTCTCCTTGTGGCAAAGTCATTGAATAACCCATGGGCAATAACCAGGGGGCTGTCACAGACAGAGCAGAAAGACAGTGGCTGCTGAATACCGGCTGGCTGTGTTTATCAGCCCGTGGATAGGACCCAAAATGGTCCAATGGTATCTTATGCGGTAGGGGGGGAAGACTAACTAACAATGCCAACAAATGTTGGAACAATCTGAATCTCGGCCAATACCTATTCTGTCTTTGGACCAACACAAATTAAATTTGTGGTATCTTCTCAGATGTGGGCAGGGCCTCAGTTAGGGTTTTCCTCTAAGGCCCCTCCTTATACAATTGTAGCCCTTTACCCACTATTCCATAGAAGTGAATGAGGTTTTTTTGGTTTTTGCCAACAAGTCATGGATGACTTGTGGCGACCCCATAGGGTTTTTCAGGGTGAGAGATGTTCAGAGGGGGTTTTCCATTGCCTGCCTCCACAGCACAACCCTGGTATTCCTTGGTGGTCTCCCATCCAAATACCAACTAAAACCAGCCCTGCTTAGCTTCCGAGATCTGATGGGATCAGGCTAGCCTGGGCTACCCAGGTCCAGGCGAATGGAGCATCCTGTCCATTCGTATGTGAGAAAGAGGGAAAGTGAGCTGGAATAGCAACTTCATGAGTAAAGGGAGGGGAAAGAGGCTGCAGTTGGGGAAAATGTGGAAGGGACATAGTGGCCTGCACATTTCAGATCTTGTTGCCCTAAGAATTTTTTTGGGGGGGATCCCTACTGGAGGGTCTTGCTGATTAGCTTGAGCTCTGGGAATACCGCCAAAGACGGCTATTAGTGCCTCCTGGTGGGCTGGGCTGGGCTGACCCTGAGCACACGTGGACCAGGCATTGGAAAGAGACAAGCTAAAAAAGGGGCCAACGGCAGAAACAAACAAGCAAAGCAGTCAGGTGAGAGAGCTTTTGCTCAACTGCATCCTTTCAGACAGCAGGGGGCAGGCTGTTTTAGTACTCCTAGGCACATATGCAATATGCCCTGAGCATCTACCATTTGTACCTCAAAAAGAAGGTCGAGCTAGAACTCCTTTCCTGGACACAGTAGTGCTGCTTACACAGGGAGACAGATAGAAGTGTATTGCCCACGTATTCAGACATCAGCTCCCCCGCCGACACTGTGTCAAAAACCCGGCAAAATGTGTGTGTCCTGCCCATTTGTTTCCGCTCAAAGGATTTGTTACACCTTCCTTGCAGAAAATTTGAACAACAGGGAAGGAAACACGCCTCTGGACGGCTCAGCTGTGAAGCCTTTGGCGAGATGTTACGACCGAACACACACTGCGGTGGCATTATCACTACTAGAATGATGACTACTGGAACATTCATTCCATGCAGCCATGGCTCCCTCTGTGCCAACAACAGGGAAGGAAACACGCCTCTGGACTGCTCGGCTGTGAAGCCTTTGGCGAGATGTTACTGTGGTGGTATTACCACTACTAGAATGATGACTACTGGAACATTCATTCCATGCAGCCATGGCTCCCTCTGTGCCAACAACACTGCACACGAATTGGGCATTCATGTGATCAGTGTCGCTCCGTGGCGGTGGGATCATGAGTACTGTGCAGATCACTCATACATTTACACTGTTCTCATGCAGTGCCGTTTGTGAGGGGTGGAGTGCGGGTGTTCCCAAAGCTTGGGCTTAACTCTCTTTAGGCTGCAGATCTTACAGCTCTCCTGCAGGGCCAGCATCACCGGTAGGCTTACGTGGGCACTCAACAGCCAATGAGAGCTGCTGGGAGGGTTCATCGTTCAGCCTTAATCTGGGCTCACTGGGTAATCGTGACCAACAAGTCGCTATAGCTGTTTCCAGGGCTATTTTGGGGCAGGAACGCACAGGAACGGAGTTCCGGCTGGCTTCAGAGTTGGCCACGCCCACTACA